TGATAAATAGAAATCGATAGATAAGGTAGATAGGTAGGTAGATGGAAAGAGAGAGAGAGAGAGAGAAAGAAAGAGAGAGAGAGAGAGAGAGAGAGAGAGAGAGAGAGAGAGAGAGAGAGAGAGAGAGAGAGAGAGAGAGAGAGGGAGAGAGAGAGAGAGAGAGAGAGAGAGAGAGAGAGAGGGAGAGAGAGAGAGAGAGAATGAGAGAGAGAGAGAGAGAGAGAGAGAGAGAGAGAGAGAGAGAGAGAGAGAGAGAGAGAGAGAGTTTACCACACTCACAGACGTTTATACACACAGAAACACGCACTCACGGGCGCGCGGTTTTTTATTTTCTTTAATTATTTCTCTCTCTACATCAAATTCATTCAGGATTTACTTTTTAAAAACCATTCTCAGTTTTAATTTCTATCTTTCTTTCTCCTTTTCTCTCTTTACCTTTTCCTCCCTCCCTTCTTCTCTCCTTTCTCAACTGTGTGTGCGTCTCTTTATCTTTCTGTTTATTGGTCTTTGCTGTTGTCTTTTTTCTTTGCTTATCCTCGTCTTTATTCTCCTTTTCCTTTTGATCTGTTGCAGCTTCTTCCCTTTCTAGTTTTTTTTCTTTTATATTTCTTTATTTTTGTTCTTTGTTCAATCTCTTTTGTCTCTATGTTGTCTCATTATGCTATCTCTTCTCTACTTATTCTACCTTTATCATCTCTCTCTCTCTCTCTCTCTCTCTCTCTCTCTCTCTCTCTCTCTCTCTCTCTCTCTCTCTCTCTCTTTCCTTCCCCCTCCTCCCCCCCCCTCTCTCTCTCTCCCTCCCTCTCTCCTTCCCCCTCCTCCCTCTCTCTCTCTCTCTCTCTCTTCTACTCACCTCCTCTTCACGCACCCCTCTCTCTCTCCTCTTCCCTCTTTCCCCGCGTTGGTTCACGGGGATCTGAAGACATCATAACTTCACACCTTGATATATAGCCCTGAAAAAGTATGTGACAGCCCCCCCCCCTCCTCTCCTCCTCCCCCCCCTCTCCCCCTTTCCCGTCATTTGAGAGCGATCGGGACCAAGGGGTAGTGGGAGGGGGAAGGGGGTGGGGGGATATATGGTAATGATATGAATTTGATTACACTGACGCTCATTAATCAGAAATGACGCTAGGGTGAGAGCGTGGCGAAAGAGGGGAAATAGATGCTACGTTTAGATGGATGAGGGAGAAGATAACGGAGAAGAAGTGAAGGAAGAGGAGAAGAGGAGATAGATATCTTGCGAGGAGAAGAGAGAGAGAAGAAGTGCTAAGAGAAAAAAATAAAAAAGTATATATAGAGAGAGAAAGAGAGATAGATAGATAGATAGATAGATAGATAAAACGTGGACATCGAGAGTTTAATAAATTCAGGAGAAGGAAACCTCAAGTTAAAAAAACATATATATAAAGTTTGATATTATATTTTCACTTCAAGAAATAATGAACAAATAATCACAGAATTACGAAATAAACAAATAGACACAATAAACCGCTAAATGAACAAAATATAAATGAATAAAACAGGATGATAATGAATGAAATCTAACCATAAATGACACTAATCTGGCTCCCCATGACCTGAATTCCTGTATCCACGCCATGAAAGATTCGCTAATCAGGACGGGCCATTAGCGAACAGGAAAAAGACTCCGTATCTCTCCCTCAATTACGTTTTAAAAAATTGGGAAAGAATCGCTTAACATTTTGGAAAGAAGAGAGAAAAGGGACTGTGAGAAAGCGTTTCTAATTATTCTTAAAATGACTAGGACATTTTTTTAAGAGAATTTCATTAGGGGAATCGAACGTATTAATATTATTTTATTTGATTATTACGTTATCGTTTATTTATATTTCGTAAGTGAGGATAAACAAAAGAAGAACGAAAGAGAACATTCACAAATATTCAAGATCAAGAGATGATTCCCTCGATAGTTTCCATCATTAATTTGATATGATCCCTTCCTGTCAAACGGTAAGATACGAAACGATTAATAACAGTTTATTCTCACCATCTGCTGTTGATATAAATCATGAAGTTTAATTACTAATAACGCACAGACATTTTCCTCTGCCATGAAGGAAGATATGAGCTCAAGGATAGACATTTTCATACACGACTGCTTCTCATATAAGAAAATAGATAGATAAAAGAATGAAGTAAACAAAACAAAGAAATAAAGACTTAAGTACTATATTAGTATCAACTGTATTACCATCACAATGATAATAGTGATAATTTTGGTATCAATGACAATACTAATAATGATGATAAAGATAATGGTAATGATAATGAAAATAATGATAACAATAATGATAACAATGATAACAATAATGATAATAATAATATCTAATAATAATGATGATTATGATGATGGAGATCATAATGATATAATAATAATGATAATAATGATGATGATGATGATGGTAATAATAATAATAATAATAATAATAATAATAATAATAATGATAATAGTAATAATAATAATAATTATAGTAATAAT